TCATCACCGTCATCAGCATCATCATCTGTGCCAACATCATCATACATTCATCAGGAGAATCATCATCATCGTCACCATTATCATCCTGATCATCATCGTCATCGTCATCGTCAGCATCATCACCATCCTCATCATAAAGATCATCAGGATCACCATCATCATCGCGACAGTCGTCATCAGCAGCAGCCGCAGCGTCATCACCATGTTCACCAACAGCATCGAGACCGTCATCAGCACCAAGATCAGCATCAGTATCAGCATCAAAGTCATCATCATCATCATCATCATCATCATCATCATCATCATCATCTTCTTCATCTTCATCATCATCGTCATCAAAATCATAAGCATTGTCATCATCAGCAGCACTACCATCATCATCATCATCATCATCATCATCATCATCATCATCATAATCATTCTCACAATCATCATCAACATCATCATCATCAATGTCATCATAAGCATTACCGATATGATCAACATAGTCATCATCATCGTCATCATCACCATTATCAGCATCATCGTCCTCCCCATCGTCATCATCATCATCGTCAGCATCATCATCATCATCATCATCATCATCATCATCACATGTATCATCAGCGTGGCCATCGTCATCATCCTCATCCTCATCGTCATCATCATCAGCAGCATCATCGTGACCATCACCATCATCAGCATCAGTATCAGAATCATCATCATCATCATCGTCGTCAGCGTGACCATCATCATCATCGTCGTCAGCATCGGGAACAGCAGCATCAGCAGCGGCATGGGCATCGTCATCAACAGCACAATCTGCATCATCAGCAGCATCGACATCAGCAGCAGCATCATCACAATAATCATCATCAGCGTCACCATCATCATCTTCATCGTCATTGATATCGTCATCGTCATCGTCATCGTCATCATCATCGTGATCTGCAGCGGCAGCATCATCATAATCAGCATGAGCAGCAACATCATCATCATCATCATCATCATCATCATCATCACAATCATCATCACCATCGTCAGCATCATCATCGTCATCAGCAGGATCACCATCAGCATTATCATCAGAGCGATCAACACCATGACCAATACCATCAACAAGAAAAACAACAGTATCATCATCATCATCATCATCAGTATCATCATCATCATCGTCATCATCATCCTCATCATCAACGTTATCGTCATCGTCGTCATTACCACCATCACTTATCATTATCGTGACCGTCGTCCGCATCCACATCAGCATCATCATCATCAACATCATAAGGATCATCATCATCGAGACCGTCATCAGCAACAGCATCAGCATCAACATCAGCATCAGCATCAGTATCAGTATCAGCGTCACCATCATCATCGTCATCATTGTCATCAGCAGCAGCAGCAACATCAGCATCATCAGCCGCATCATCGTCGTCACCACCACAACCACCATCATCAACATCATCATCATCATCGTCATCACCGAGACCGTCATAAGCATCAGCATCATGATCATCATCAGCGTCGTCGTCGTCATCATCATCATCAGAATCATTATCGAGACCGTCATCGGCATCAGCATCAGCATCAGTATGAGCATCCTCAACAGCATGATTTAATTGACATCAGTTGCAACAGCAACATCATCAGAGACATCATCACCAACACCGTCAGCATCATCAGCATCATTATCATCATAATCATCATTATCAGGATCAGCATCCTCATCACCGTCATCATTTACACCGACATCGGCATCAGCATGAGCATCAGCATGGGCATCGCAGCGGCATCATGAGCATATCGCCATCAGAATCAGCATCAGCATCAGCATCAGTATGAGCATCAGCGTCGTCATCATCATCGACAATGCCAGCAGCAGCATTAGCGCCAGCACCAGCATAAGCATCATCAACAACATCATCATCAGCAGCATTGAGACCGTCATCAGCATGAGCATCAGCATCAGCATCCGTACCAGTATCAGCTCCATCATCATCATCATCATCATCATCATCATCATCATCATCATCATCATCACCGTCAGCATCACCGTCAGCATCATCATCGTCATCATCATTGGAGCGCGTTTCTTCATGTTCGGCGATGACGGGCGTCATGGGGGGGGGGGCGGGGGGGGTATGACTTAACGCCGCCCCCTCCGCCGTGTGGCTCCCGCACCACAGCCGCGCCCGCGCGCACGACGCGACGAGCGACGAGCGACGAGCGGTGACGACGACGACGACGACGCGAGCAGAATGTAGGTGACGATCTCCTCCACTGCGCCTGTGTACACCACAACGATCGCGTGCACCACAACGCGCATGTACACCACAGCGCCTGCGCACACCGGAACAACAATGTGCAACGCAGCGCCTGTGTACACCACAATGCTTGCGTACACTACAACTCCGGCGTACATATTTACACCGCAGAACCATGTGCAACACAGCGCCTGTGTACACCACATTGCTTGCGCGCACCGCAGCGCGTGTGCACGCCACTGCGCCTGACT